GCTAAACATAACTAAGTAACTTTAAAAATGTAATAAAAATTGGGGGTCATTTCGAGACTTTTGGCTTGTTTTTTAAATGCTCATAACTCAAAAATTATTTGTCAGAATTGGCTCAAACTTTCTACATAGCATAAGGATATCAATATGCATCAGAAAATGTAATAAAAATTAGGGGTCATTTTTTAGTCATTTTTTGGAAAAAACCATGGGCTATAGCCTTGGGTAATTTTCAAAAATCAGTCCGTTTTAAAAAATGGTCATAACTCAAAAATTTCTTATCGGAATCACCTCAAACTTTCTACACATCATTAGGACATCAATATGTATTAGAAAACGTAATAAAAATTGGGAGTCATTTTGGAGCCATTTTTCGGAAAAAACCATGAGCTATAGCTTTGGATAATTTTCAAAAATCGGCCCATTTTTAAAATTGGTCATAACTCAAAAATTTCTTATCGGAATCACCTCAAACTTTCTACATACCATTAGGACATCAATATGTATCAGAAAACGTAATAAAGATTGGGAGTCATTTTTTGGTACTAGTCACCTACAACACAATATTAATTAATTAATTAACACAAACCCCACCCATCAATCATTATTAGCCACACCCCTCACCTTCCCAAATAATGTATTCTTATTATTAAGTTCATCAGTTCTTCCCAGCGTTATAAAGAACTGTGAGGTATTATCATTCTTTCCTCCATTGGCCATTCCCACCAGACCACGTCTATTGAACTTGAGTCTCTGATCAAACTCATCCTGTTAATGAGAGTGGGTGTGGTTAAAGGGTTGTCATGGTAACGATGGACTCACTTTAAATGGCGAACCATAAATAGATTCACCACCTGAAGAGAAGATAAAAAGTATTTGTACAAATAATTATTAATAATTAATACCTTCTCCTGTACCAGTGGGATCACCACCTTGAGCTACAAACTCTAGAAAGGGAGAGAGAGAGAGAGAGAGAGAGAGAGAGAGAGAGAGAGAGAGAGAGGGAGAGAGAGAGGGAGAGAGGGAGAGAGAGAGAGAGGGAGAGAGAGAGAGAGAGGGAGAGAAATTACATGTACATGTAGGAAAGCAACGTAACATCAATAGGTCATTCTACTTAATTAATAATTATAACTCCACCCACTAATTAATAATAATTAATCCATTACCGAAAACGACTCTGTGGAATATGGTATCATTATAATAATCTTCTAAACACAATTGTATGAAGTTACGACAGGCCAGAGGAGCCTCTCAGTTTGGACCACAGTTCAATATCAATATCACCCAGTGTGGTCTTTAATAGTACCTGAGGGGAGGGGCCAGTAGTCACTAATACAGCTGCTGCTGGATTAACTACCTTTCCTTTAGTAGGGGGCTCTGTTATATATATATGGAACTCATTCTTTGAAGAAAACTCAGAGAATTAGAGAAAAGGTATAACTCCGCTCACAAACACAGTATACTTTCCGTATATTAAAATCACGTGTTTTCACATTGACATTACCATTACAAAAAGTTCAAAATTTACAGCTAAGGAACTAAGGATTGATCAATGACTGTGCCATTTTATCAGCAATTTCTGTAAATGCTTCATTTTCTTTCAATACTTCAATTAAAGTATTCATTGCCTGAGGTTTCCCATCAATGGTAGCTTTAAGAGCAAACAGTAATGAAGCACATCTATCATGTACTGGTCTGCCATCATTCATACACTCGGTGACAGTTGCATCAGAAATTAGCTCTTTAGCATAGAAGCTCATAATGACAGCTGATAGGTTATTCGGGGCTGCCAGAATTTTTAAAAATTTATCAGAGTTTTCTCGTAGTACTTTTCCTGCTAGTTTCCACTCCTCATCATCTATGAATATGATTATAGTTAGAAAATTAAATAAAGCATGAGATTATATACCTGGAGAAAGTGGCCCTGCATTTGAAGCAATAGAGCCAGCAAATGCTTGCTGGAAGTCACCTACAATGTCTTTAGAGGGACTGACTTATAATAACAACACTAACCTATTGTTAATACAATGTTTATTTTCTCAATATCAGATTCTGTTATTCCTTGCAATGTGACAGGATAACTTAATTCTTTAACTGCACCTTCACCAGGTGTGGCTGAAATTGTAATGAGGCTTTCTGGAAAATGAGGAGGAGACATGCTGCCATATTCATCAATACAAGCCTGCCTAACCTATAATCATAACACCAAGTTAATACATTAGTATCAAGTGTGGCTTACTCTTGTAG